TTTTTCTTTAGCTTCTTCTTTTAACTTGAATTATTTCTGGAAGTATTAGGTTTGTCGATTTTTTTATATTATATTTTTATTTTATTTAAAAAGTGTTTAATTGCTTCGGGCTGCAATCGAATGATGTTATAATAGAGGGTGGTTATTTTATGTCTCAGACCTTCCTAGTTTTATTGAAAAAATTTTTAATTGAAGCACTTACTGCGTAATCTATCCAACTGTATATTCCTTTATAAATCAATAATTTTTTTTCAGCAACATAGGAAACTAAAGGATAAAGAAATATTTTGCTTAATTATTTAAATTATTTTATTTACTTTTTTTAGCAATTTATGTCATGGAATATTTGGAATATTTTTCATATTTTTAATATCATTTTATTATTTTATTTTTTTTTGACTGGTTGGATCGCTGCAATTATTTTGGTGGAAGTAAGTTAGTATGTAATTTCAAATTAATTTTTTGGTTTTATATAATACTCTTTTCTCTTATTAATAACTCTCTTAAGTAATTTGAAAAGTAGATGGAGTTTTTTCGCTTAAAATATTAATTTTTCGTGTTTTTATTGGAAGTAAAGTAATCTTTGTCGATCTAAACCGTCGAATATTTGTTACATATTGTGGGTGATGAATTATATATCTACTAGTTCGCCATTCGTCATAAGCTTGAGTAAGTAGCTATTACGAAAATATAAAAATTTTGAATTTATCTATAATAAAAACAAGTTTAAACTTACATATTGAATCCAGCAAATCATAAATGCTTCAGTAATATTTTTAAAATATGATGCAAATTCTCCAGTAATCTGCGGCATTTATCATTACTTAAGGCTTCATCAACAATTTTATGCGATGTTTCATTTTGAATCTTATCATTTTCATTCATATCTTCATTTAGTATAACATCATTGAAAAGTCTCCATCAAAAAATTCTTCATTAAAAATATCTTCATTATAAATATCTTCATAAATAATACAATCATTAAAAATTTGATCATTGTATTATTTAGTATCGCATCATTGTTAATATCTGTATTTGAAATTTCATACAGGTACTTCTTTATTCGGCTTTTATTTTCTACTTTATCTTAATAATTTATTAAAGATGAATTTAATGTAATGTTTTCTTTTATTAAATAATACACTTGTTTCATAAATATTTACCACGTGTTTTAGGACATCTTATATAGTTTTGACGAAGATTATAGGAGATATAACAAAAATTTAAACGTTTTGGTTGGAAAACCCGTAATTCGATTTTAATAGCTTAGCTCCCATATATTTTCCTATTATGTTTTCGAGTCGGGTTTTTAAGACTGAGACCCAAATTAAATCAACCTTTGGGTCGGGGTCATACTCGGGTGATCGTGTGATGATCGTAGATTATGAACTTTTGACATAAATATGCTAAAAAAAACTCTTCGAGTAAATTTGTCTTACTGTCCGTAATTAACTTTGAAATTAGTTGTTATTATTTACATTGTCATAAATAAAATTATTTAGTGATTAAACTTGGCTTCATAATATTGGTGATGAATATCATGCCAGCAAAGACAGTTTTTTTATGGTGGAGCTTAGTATCTATTTGCTTCAAAGCATTGATTCTTTGAAGCATACAATTCGTGCATGTATAAGGTTTTAAAGTTAAATTGCGATTATTTTTCGATGATTTAACTAGCTATACAATAAATAAGTTATAAAAAACACCCGGTACTGAAATTCGTTTATCGTCATTAACATTATCTGTTGTTCCGAATTTACCTATAGTTGGGTCGGGTCGGGTTCGACTTGACCCCTTCGGAGCACTAGTAATAAGAGATTTTGTCAAATTTATAAACGCAAATGTTCTACTTATATATACAATGTACATCAAGATTTGTATGACATGAAATTGATATATTTGTATATATATTTGTAAGCTTCTTAAAATGCTTCTTTTATTTCTTTTCCATAATTACCATATTTTTTTTATTGGATCGAAGAAGTTCTAAAAGCACATTAAAAATTACGAATACTTTATAAAAATACAAAAAATAAGTTCCGGACAATGCAAATCAAATCAACTTTAAACAGATTTTGCATTAAAATCTTTACTATGTCATTTTCAAAAAGATTGTTTGTGAAATAATTAGGTAGAACATATATTTCGGCTTGTTTATCATGAAAGAATATATATTTTGTTTGTATTTATAATACAGCTTGTAATTCAAAGTGAAGTTGATTATTACAACGATTATTATTCTATTTTATGGTAACACAATTTCAAATCACGTTTTAAATCGTTTTAATAATAAAATGTTATAAAGTTTTAGATATTTACTTTAAATAATGATTACTAATGATGGAATATGCTGATTAGGGTTTGCCTGAAAGAAATTTTAATACACTTATGGGGCATTACAAAAGATGAAAATTGGCAAGATAAACTTGCTAATAAAAATCATGCAATGGGACAGCTAAAGTTTGTAACATTTATTATAATAGAAAAGGTATTGAAAAGGATCCAAAAGGATATATACTCAATAACAAATGCTGTACGTACCAAAATTGTATTGACAATATATTCCCATTATTTGCAGTACCAAAGAGAAGTGTTGATGTAAATCATTTTACGAGTTATTTCAGAATTCAGCACGAGAAAATTATTCAAATGGAACTTTAAATTTAGTAATTTTTTATGGTTTTTGTATTATTTGTAAAGGTTGCAAATGATTATAATTAGATAATTACTTGACAATTTGTTAATTAAAGATTTTTTTATTATATATTTATTTCCTTTCAAGCTTACTTGATCATTAGTGGCACAGCTTGACCATTTTTAAAATAAATTTAAAAAAAAATAATTTATACTTTTAAAAAAATGTATATTACAAAAATGATTATAGTTTAAAATACAAAGGAATTCATAGCTTCGGTCAGATGTCTTTGACAAATATCCGTACCGGTCATTAACAACCAACCCTAACTTTAACAAACTCAAAATTATAAATGAACCAAATATAACATAAATTTTATGAAAACTAAACTCTATTTTATTTTATTTTATTTATGTACAAGGAATAAAGAAATTGGAAAGTATTTACGAATGTAGATATACAATTTTTTTTATAAAAAAAAAAAGAAATAATGCGCGGAAAATATTAGAATATTGATATAAAATATAATAAATCCAAAAATTTGTTGAGGTTGTTAAGGATACTAAAAATTATCAATCTCGAAAGAAAAACCAAATTCTATCATCAAATAATTAAATGTAATAAATTTCGTGAATGAATGTTATTATCCCAGTGAGAACGAGATTTATGATCTCGAGTTCGGTGCTGGAATTGACGGCATTTTGTCGTCTAAAATAACGTCTAAAAATAATAAATAAAATTAAAAAAATTGAAGTTTTAAAAAGTAAAAAATATATTTCTTATTATTATTATTAAATAAATAAATTACCGGTGCGCAGCCAAAATTTGTCACCCAACTCTGCATGAAATAATCGATCATGTTAAAGATTGGTTGGTCGTATCATAAAGAGATAAGTTGTCAAATAACATTATCGTTATTGACATAATGGAGATATATCTAATTGGACATATAAACTTATGAATTTAATGCATAATGATTAATGCGCAATTGTCAGTATAAAAGAGCTTTATTTGTTGTATAGAAAGTAGGTAATCCACTACTTGATTTTGAAACCATTTTTGATAACTTTCGATAGCAACTGAGGGAATACAGACACAAAAAGCTCACATTTGAGCCGAGAAACTAGCTAAATCCATGAGCTAACATTTGATATTTGTATGAGCTAGCTGTTCGAATCAGGAATATCGTGACGCTGAACGTTTATCTTAAGTTCCTTTCAAAATCTCCTCTCATCAGTCGTTTTCAAGTATTATAGGAGTGTCTCCAGTTGCTGGGGCAGTTAATGAAAGTTATATCTCTTTATCATAGAAATCATGGAATCAGCACTTCCAGGAATTTCTTGTCAAGTGCAAGTAATCGTGCACAGATGATTTTGTTCGATTCGATTAAGAAAATCGAATAATAAAATATTATAAAATTCTTTTCTGTTTATTTGTTTTATTTATTATATAGATATAAAATTAAGCAGTATGTTTTGGATTTAATTAATTTTATTAATAATCGAATGTGGGTAAGTAATAAATGTTTAGTTATTTTACAATTAATTTGAGAAATTCTAAGGAAATTATTTCTCTTCTTCCTGTTGAGAACAACTTTTATATCTAAAATTCAGCAAAGAGATTTGGAGCTCTTTTTAAGTAAATTATTTTAGTGTGGCCAGAATGTCCAATTTATGATGTGGTTTATTTTGATTAATCAAACCCGGCAAATGATAATAGGTCGTATTTCCATATATACTTGCAACACAATCATAAGTTTCATTTAAATTCTTTCAAAAGTCGAACGCATCAGCATCATTAATTCTTCTAACAATTGATTTGAAACATTAAATCTTATTGCTTTTTTAGGCGCATAATTATTGAAAATTGAAACATTCGACGTTGGATTTATTACTTTTAAAAGTTCAACTTTACGTATTACATTTAGAGCTAATTTTCAAAGTGAATATTGTTATATAATGAAATGTAACAATCATCAACGAAATAAAAAATAATATTACTCAATACAATTTCTTAAATAACGAAATTAATGCAAAAACATGTGAATGATGTGAATGACTACATTTAAATTTAATAAATAATATAACGCATTCCCGATAATTATTGTCAGATAAATTTTTCTGATTATAACTTTTTAAAAATCAACCATCGATTCTTTTGAATATGCTTTTTATCAGTTCTACAAGTGTTTTTGCCCAAAACATCTTAAAAACAACCAAGTTTATAAGTAAATTAGTTAAACTATACCTATTGTATGAAAATATTAGTTGCTTGATTTCGCTTAATCATATTTATGCCAGTTTTTTGCTACGATATGCTATTGGATATCTTTGTAATAGCCTCTCCATAAATGTTATAAAGAATGATGGCTTTATTAAGACGACATTATCATCCAGCACGAGAAATTTCAACAAATCGAATATGTGGAATGAATTTATTTAATGTTCTTTTAAAATTTTTAAAATGCTTCCAAATTTCCTAGATTCATTAGGCTCTATTACTATTATTATTCCCAATTCAGGAGTTTGAACGATAACCTATTTGATAACATCAGTTTCTTTATCTTTCAATCACCTTTTGAATAGGTTTAGAAAGGATATTTTTATCTAGTAATATATAGATTCGGGTTTGAAAGATCATTTCAAGAAAATAATCTTGTAATTTCTTACTTAAAATGTAATTATAAACCATGTTATATTGAATATTTTAGTATAGATACAATAAATTAGATGCAATTAACAATCCAAGCCGATTTTTTTTTTATAAATTATGTATATAAAAGCAAGTTAAATACATAAATTATTTAAAATACATCAAAACGTTATATTATTATTCCTTTGTGTTATCAAATTGGACGAAAAGGCACTTTGAAATATGAAGAAATGAATGTGCTCAAAAACTTTGCTTTTACCATTTTTAAACTATAACAGTTAAAATCTACGGCATCATTGATCATTGAATAATGAAGCAAGACCTTTTGAAAGACCTATATGGAGTATTGAAGTCATTTCGATCGAAGAACATTTCTCGTATAATAAATCATTCATCGTTCTCAAATTGGAAAACTATGCTACATGAATTTGTTAGAAATTTTTTATTGGTTCACTTGACCGATCAGTCATGTGCACAAATTAGCTAAGCCAAAATTAGATAAAAATTCCAGTTTCCTGAAACTCTTTCAATAAATACCAATAAATCTTTCCATTTGAATTATGATTTTTATCAAAAAAGGTGAATATAATAATATTTTTTCATTCTTTGTACACAAATTAAAAATACAAATATAAATGATTATCACAAAAATTATGTAAAGATTATTCATTCTATTTCTTTTAAAAAAAAGAAAAAATATTAATTGTCTTGCCTTAACTATATAAAAATTTATTTTTTTAAAAAAAAATTGGTCACTCCAAAATTTAGACAACTGTCAGATGATACGAAATACTTTAATAAGTTATTACCAAAATAAACACAAAAGAGATAAAATAATGAAACGCAAAAAAATTTAAATAATCGAAGTTTTCTTCATAAATATAATAAATTTTATTTGCATTAGTTGCATAAAATTTTTTATGAAGGGAAAAAAATTGTATTTCTACATGAACTTTACAATATATTATGTAGGTGGAATGAACAGAAAAGTCTACGAAAGGAAATTACGGGTTCTTAACTGATTGTCATAATATTATGTTCATCAGGATTTGTAGGGGTTGTGAAGATAATGATAACTCATACAAGATATTATTTTCTGTCTTAGCAACCAAATAACACATATACGTTTTCCAATTGGATAATGATTCTCGTAGATCCCATTCTCGTGGCCGTTCTCAGGATCATTCTCATCATCGGGATAATAGAGGAATGAAAGAAGGTGTCGCCGCAGGATGAGATTTGATTCTCCACGTATGAACTTTAAAATCGTTTTCATAATTATTTAAAAAAATTTTTAATATATTTAACAGAATTAATAATCTTAAAAAAAAAATATATTATCTTAAAATCAGTTTGAAATATGATTGTAAATTTTCACACTTATCATATCTGTCATTTGTTATTAAAAACTAGGGATGGTATTAGCTCAAAATAAGACTCGAGACGGTTCTGTAACCGATTCTAAATTTAGCAGATTCCGAGTTTAAATATTAAAATAGAACTATGAAACCGACGCTCAAATCGGTTTGTCATCAAAATTATGACGGTCTTAAACAACTCGTTTGATGACCAATCAAATTTTTTTCTAATTGATCTCTACCTGTGTTTTAAATTTGACGCATGTAGAATGAGAGCCGAAGCGGAATCGAACCATGATATCGGCGATTGAGTGAGTGGTAAAAAATAATATTTTCATGGTCATTAACGCATATTCTTTCATAATTAAATAATAACTCTAACTTATAATTAAACTTTTCATTAGAATTCATTAATTTTTACCTTTCTCTAAAAATTAAAATGAATGAAATCACTCAAATAAAAATACATTACCTAACACAGTCCGTTAGCGTAAATCATCTGGAAATAGAAAGGCCAATTTTTTTTATAAGAAAAAATTCTCATGCTCAAATGCAGTAAGGATATGATTGAAGGTGAACTAAATATAAAGCATTATCAATAAGACATGCTGTTGATAAATAACTCCGTATGTTTAACATCATTTTCAAAATTTTAAGTTATATTTTAATTATATATTTGAGCCATTAATACTTAAAAAAATACAGCATATTTAAACAAAATCTTTATATATTTAAAATTATGCAATGTTAAATAAACATATTGATAAATAATTACCAGTATAATTTTCAACTGATATATCCTGGAGTTAATAAGATTCTCTTATATTTTTCAAGTCAACAAACACTTAATTAAATCTAATTTAAGGCTGTTTAAAAAGATATATACAATATTTAATTAATATATTTAATTATTGCAATCAATGCCTTTATGAAGATTCGAATAAGAATTTATTGAAACTATAATCAACTAGAAAACTCTAACACTATTAGTAGCCTCGAAGTAAATGAATACCAAAATTAAAAATATTTTTATGTTTGGTATGTTGATAATATTTTATAATCTATATAGTCTGACTTAGCTAGGTTTAATAGTTGGTTATAAAACAGATGTATAGATAGATCTGAGATGGATTGGTTAGATATGAATGGGGTATGTCATTCACTTCGTTGATGATTTGGTACCCTAAGTCCTCCACTGGGAACAAGACGTTAAATCGATAGGGGAGAGAATTTCTTATAGAGCTAAAGGCCCATTACCTATACAGTATGGGTTTGAGGCCAACGGCAAGCCAACGACATTCGTCATATTTTGTCTCAGTTTTCGGACATACTTGTATTTATATGTTGAAAAATATTTTCTATGATATAAGTGAACTTCTCCTGTTTTCCCACATAATCTTATTTCATCCCTCTCCTAATTCTTTCAAGCTGTTCAAGAAATTTAAGATAAGTTCGTTTCCATATTGTCTGTTTCACTATTGGGATAGATTATCTAAATCATTTCTAATTGTTTCCGTTTCTTATTAATTCGATTTACTTTTCCCTTTCCCATAAAAAAAAAAAATAAAAAAGAGAAAATTGGTTGACAATTTTATTTTATATATATTTTACTTATTTTCATTGTTAAATTTAGATATCACTTTCATAATCTTATTTTTACCCTATTGCAATTGTAAAATTTATTCTCTTGGAGAAGTTGAAGAGATGACAAATCATTTTCCTTGTAAATACTGAATTACAAAAATCTCGTAACAAAAAAAATATTGGCTTTCAGTAATTTGTTCTATAATGGATTTTTTTTTCAATCGTAAAAAAAGTCATTTACATTCTGGAAAGACTATTGAAATTCTGATGCCTATTTTATCTTTATTTAAAAGGAATTTATGGTAATCTTCATAGTTACGGTTATAAAGATTTAAGTAATTAATTAGTCTTTGAGAAAAAATTTATTTTATTTGGTGGTTAATTTCTCGAAGTTGTCAAATGAAATGACAGTCATATATTTCCATCATGAATCCTCACATATGTATCATAAGCTAAAAGATTAAGTTAAGGTGTGCAATTGTTCTTTTTTTTTAATCTTCACAATTCAAACTTAAGTAAATGACGCAATGTCATTTTCAATTCTTCCAAAAAACAAAATCCTACGTTATTTATCAGTGATGTGATGAAGGACGCGTAAGCTTTTTCTTAAAATTATGGTTTACGCATATAATAAACTTCTCAAATCTCTCTTTCGCCGTTCTTTTACATGATGAGAAAAATTTTTCTTTCGGCACATAATCCATTTCCGAAAAAGGTTTCGATTTCCATTGAAATAAATTCAAAAAATTTCTTTCCTTTTTTTTTAATATGATGATGATTTTTTCAGGAGGTGGAAGAGGCTGTTCATTTTGTTGAGAAAAATCAGAACTGTCATGATGTCGATTTCGATCGTAATAACATCTGTAAAACCGCCATTAGCTTTTCATCATTTCCTATCAATGGCCAGATTAAACGGGCACGCTAGCGTTTTTCGTCTCGTTCGTTTTGTTGAACTTATAGTTGTTGTTATAGGGTTTGGAATCGATTCTATCAAAATCGAATTAATCGAAAATCGAATTAGAATCGATTCTATTTTATTCTTGTAGTAAGTGGAGTGGTGCATAAAAAATTTAAGCGTAAAATTTAAACGATACTTTGCTTATTTGAGAAAAAAAGATAATAAAATAAAGTTATTGATCAAAAAAAAAAAAAAAACGAAAGTTAAAATTAAACTATAAAACCTTATATCGTATCACGATCCTTGATCAAAATAAAGTTAATAAAAAGTTTCTGAAAATCAACCCGAACTATATAAAAAAAAATTAATCAAGTCATAAATAGAGCTTTTATACGTTTCCAATTTATGTATCCGATGTTCCTGCGGATTTGAGAAGGATAAAGTAAAGTAAAGGTTATCGTTAAAAAAGTAAAAGAATCCGCTAAAGAATACATTAATTTTATTCAGGTAGAATTTAAAAGATCCATTTTCAATTGTTATAATAGCGTGTATAAAATGAAATAAATATTAGCATAACAAATTAGCTGCTGAATCATCATTACCGAACTTAAACATGATTCTGAAACCAAATATTTGTTTTGTTCTTCCAACTCATCAGCAACATCACATGATGTGTAAATACTTGATCCTGATGTTGTATCTATTCTAATAAGGATGATTATTACCTAGAACTTACTGTTACATGCAGTATGACTTCAATTATTTAAAATTTTGAATCACCTTCACATATAATTTCTATTGAAATGACTATAATATTTTAGTAATGTCGTAATTTTTTTGAAATTTCATTTCATTCCATATTTTTTTTATTTTTTTTTTAAAAAAATTTCTTTTAGAGCTTTCATTGTAAAAGTAACAATTAACTTGATAGATAACTTTGTTATACATTTTTTTTAAAAAAATTAATGATTTCTAAATTTTTTTTTTTTTTGATAAAATTCAGGATCAATGAGCGTCGAATCCAAGAAAATGGTTGCGTAAGCTCTTGAGTTATTATTACGCTTTCTTCAGTATCTTTTGGATCTAGACACTAATCGCTATTGAGATTGTTCTTGATCAAATTCGTAAATTTTTAAGCATTAAAATGGGTATTTGAGAATTCAAGAGATAATATGCCAACTTCTATATTTCTCATCACATACAGAAGTATTTAATGTTAAACAAGTTGTAGTACTTGTAAGCAAAACGGAAGAAAAAAAGAAGGATTGAAGTAGGTAAAGCCTTTTATATTACCTCCTAGTAATATTTCTACAGATATAATAATTTGACAAACTCTGTACTTAATTCCATCTATAATGGTGTTGATTCGTTAAATATTGCATTTGGAGAAAATATTTAAACGTGTTGAGTTATCACTTTGCATGCACTCCCCAAAATGGTCCAATGAAGTTTGAATACTTTGCAAGGTTTGAGATCCATTGAGAGCAGCAAGAAATCTTCCTCAAGATCTTGATGGTTAAAGAACATATGATGAATCTGATAACCGTCCAACTATTTAATCAAGTAGTTACTATATTTTAAATGCAATTATCTTCAAAAGAATAATATTTGAAGTTCATCCAATTGAAAAATACGAGCAATGATCTGATGTTGATACTAAGAATTACGGTTATATATAGTAACGCTAGGATTATTCTCATTAGCATATTTGCTGATAAAAAGTTAACTTGATTTTAAAAGAGCAAACTGTCAAAAGTTTAGCATCAATACATTCCTGATTACCTTGATAATCAAAACATTTCTTTGCACGAGTCGTTGTTAAGTTATTAAAAAATTGATGTAATGATAATTCCATTTTTTACTAGAATAGGAATTTGAAAAAGGTGATGATTATTAAAATGAATTTGGAATTGAAATGTTCAAAATACACTGATACTTAAAATTTCATCAATCCCTTTAAACTAAGGTTCCACATACATTTACACTTCAAATTTCAATGATAATAATCCTTTAGTTCATTTATTTAGAACCATAATAAAAAATAAAGGTAGTTAAATTAACGCCCAATTTTTTTCTTTAAACTATTTATTTTATTTATCATCCATTTCAATTTCAAATTCAAAGATACAAAGAGAAAAATACATGACATGACATAATATTCGTCCAGCATTATTTAATCCCCTTTGTCCAGATCAAGCTATTCCTCCCTACATTAAATTTGCGATAATTTTTAGGTGCAAATTCTTTAACAATCGCTAATAATTCAAGCTCTTCTAAAGTAACACCATCATTCAAAATGTGTAAGCTTTCTAATCGTTAAAATTACTTTTAGCGATTTTACCTTTCCATCTAGAAATGAAGTTCGTAACGAGATCAAATTTTAACTATAATTAAATTGAATGAATCTCTCATATCTTTTCAAATCCAAAGCTCTTCCAAGAATTTGGGTAGGTACATTTTATATGGACACTCACATTCAAATTTTAAAAGGTTGTTACCGTCTATTTCGCTAACTGAAGTTATTGAAAGTTCTTGTAAATTCGAAAGTTTAGAAATTAAAGAATATGGTATGTGATGACGTTCTCCAACAATGCGACCCTGATTAATGTATCCGGAAATTTGGTAAATGGTTGATTTTTATTATAAGGTTATGATATTCAATGTCCAAGCATTTTAAATGTTTTTGAACAGAAAATAATTCTACAAATCCATTTGAGATGCAATCTTCAATAATTATCTTTAGTGATTGTAAATTTTGACAAATCTGAGATAACTCATGAAAAAATACTGGATAGAGATTTGAACGTAAGTTTACTTAAGCAATTTCTTACTCCAGGGTATTCGAAAAGTGGCATAATATGTAAGTAACTTGGACTAAAATAAATATTTAAATTTTACAAAGAGATTGATTAAATAACATTGAAAATATTTCTCGTGCTATCACTATAATTATTTGATATTCTAGGTGGATTTTTAAGAAAAATTTTAATAAAAAGATCAAATTTACGAAACAAAGACTCCTGATAAATGCTATATAATGAATTGACGGATGACTTAAAATTGAGGTCGTTATTTTGATTCCATTATCAGATAAAATCTTTTTGGATTTATCAGGAAGGCAAGCGAGTAAAGTATTAAAATTTTGCATTCTTCTATTAAAATCCGAGCGGTAACTTCAAATCAACGTCGGTTTGCTAATAAGCATGAAAATAAATCATCCACATCATCTTTCAAGTTTTCAAAAATTTAAACAATCAAAGGGGAGCTCATAAAACATATTTTTTTCAGAGAAAGAATGGTGAGACAAATAAAAAAAAAGAAGACAATTACTTGTCATTTAAGGAAATTTAGTAATGTAGATCGTGTAACCTGGGTGATTGATATAGACAAACATAAATTCGTGACGGCGGTCATCAGAATTTTTTTCAAAGCATTCTTTGCATATTAAGATGGTCTGAAGAAATTTCAGGATTTTGAGCGATCCCCATTTTAAGTACATGTTCCCAAACTTGAACATCACTTATCAAAAGGTTTTCATTTGAATAATTGAAATCAAAGATTTTTCTGAAATTGAAGCAAAATCAACGGACTTTATTATTTTTTCCGGCTCCTTAGACATCAAGTTGGTACAAAATTTTTGAAGTTCCAAGAAAGAATCATGTTTAAAGCTTGATTGATATATCAAATTAAAATTTTGTTCCATCCACGTTGCTTTATTTTCAATCAAAAATGATTGTAAGTGGATGACTATTTCTTGAAGACTTAATTCATTGACAGCGACCAAGATATTTATAATATCTGAAGTATCATACTCCTCCAAAGAAAGTTTTACACCATAAATGTATCTCTTAATAAATATTCATTTTGATAAATATCAAAAATAAAGTTAAAAAATTTTGAGGTAAAATGATTTAACGAGATTTTTTTTTTATAAGTAAAATATTTGATGATTTAATATGTACCAAAAATTCCATCATTTCCCTTTTTATAGCTGACAAATCTCTTTTGTAAATAAGCAGAACGCTAATTTAAAATTATCATGAGTACCTACTTACTTTTACAAATGGATCCTTTCCAACTTCAATAATAACATCATAATATTCATTATTCTCTAAACATTCGAATATATTTTGTGATCATTTTTGTAATAACTTATTATCAACCATTATTTAAGAAGAAAGAAATATAAAAACCGTGTGAATTTAAGGGATTTTGTCGATCTGTTGTGGCAATTTGTGTATCACGCCCTGCATTATATAATACAGTATCGTGTTAAAAAAAAAAAAACTATTTTACCTCTACAAAATGACATTTCGAAAATCTCTACTAGAAGGTCACACAAGCTACGCAAGCAAAACTCAATTAAACCTCATAAGCAATAAACAAGCTGTTGCAAAATCAATCGTAGAAATATATCAAAATGGTCTTCAGTTGAACGCGTCTTGCTGAGACCATATTCTTATGCTGGTTTTAAAGAAAATCGGTGGGTGTTTGTTTGTGATTTTGAATCGCAAAGCCTTGTATGCAGATAAAATTTTTTTTTTTGAAGTTTACAATGGTTTCTTACACATATTACAAGTATGTAATTTCATATCTCATACGTACTTGATTATATAAAATAGTAGATGAATCTTGGTGAATGCTGTTGATAACAAGGTACATTACATTTTATTAGAAACGTTCGTTAACTTCTGTCGTGAAGTGTGTGTTGATTATTTAAAATTTTTCGTTAATATCAGGCTCAAGACCAAAAAATGAATCTTATTTAAATGACAAAGAAGGAAGTCAAATTTCCATCTTTAATATTGAAATGCACAATAATCAAAATGTTTATGTACCTCAACTTATATTTTCGCTACTTTTTTCATCTTACAAATTATGATGATTAGGAAGAAAGTTTCCGATAATCGTAATATTTCGGTGCTAAATTAACGAACATATATACACTACGTAATTCATTGTGGAAGCATCTTCAAATGTCATGAAATATCGTCAAACTTTCAGGATCGAACACTAATTATCACTGCTTGTTCTAAAAGTGAATACGCATTGATCACATTCAAGTAGTTTGATGACATTATTGACCTCTTTAAATTGCATTAATACGACATGGCATGTGTGTTAAGAATATGTCCTTAAATTGTGAATGAGTGCTCGTGAAAACTTAACCGAACGATAGGAAATTGGAGAATTATGAATTCCATCATGTAATATTTTTTTCTCTTGCATTAAATGGTTTTGCGAAAATCGTATAAATTCTGAACTTAATAATAAACTAAATATAGAATTAAAAAAGATAGACGGAAAAAGAACAAGTAAATAAATTGTCAGTGGGAGATAAAATTATATTTTTTTTGTTATTAAATTCTGATATGTAATAGTATTTCCGAAATTGGCAAACAACGATGGTGGTAGACTTGCTAAGGATTGTACTTTAATGGTGGCTGTAAATCTTTGTCAGTTGTCGGGCTTAAACGTGACCAATTATGGAATTTTCCACCTCCGATAACAACTTTTAAATATTCGCGATTCACTCCCAGAACATGAATAACTTTGAGATTCAACAAATAAAGCACATGGCAAGGAAAAGAATAAGTGAATTACAATATGCGCATCTGATGATCATGACGCATCAAGATCGCGATCGAAGCCACATTAAATTATTGATAATCAATTTCTTGGATCATTTATTTTGTTCTCCTTGCTAAAGATTCCAGTCTTTTCATAGGAATTTGTCACATTTATTATAAAGGTATGAAATCATTCAATCACAATAACCTTGAGAACCAATAATAATTTAACTATTTTCATTAGTATACGAAGGAGTCATAAAAAAGTGAAAAGGTGAAGGAGATGACCCCTGATGATAAAAATTAATCGATCTAATATAATAAATACTCCTGTTCCTAGGGTCTTGGTTCTTTAAATACCAAAGAAGCTAAAATATTTTTGTAGCTATTCAAGAAGATGAACGAGAGTTAATCGATCTGTCCTTATAAAGAAATTTGATGATCGCAAGAAATTTTTAAGTAATTTTTAAGTTATTAAGTATGTATAGAATTCATTTTCTGTTTTGGCCTGTTTCCAGAATGTAACTTTTTAAGTAAATTCACATTCTGAATTAATATTCTTATAGACCGGCACCTACATGGTTCATGATGAGTAAGAAATAACGTATTAAGAGTTGATCTTGTTCAGTCGAGCCGACACTCGATACCAAATCAATATTCTCGAAGTATTGAAACCTGGCCAGAGAAAAGGTTTTAAGAAAAATTTCAACAACGAAATTAAAGTTTCTTCGTTAGCCGAGGCTGCTTTAGATAAAATAGTATAATGCAAGTATTCAAGGTACAATCATCGCAATGGCTTACGATTTTGTCAAATATCATTCACGAAGGTCAATTGGTACAAATGCTCAAGGATGAAAGATACATTTAGTGCTCGTTATATCAGCGTTGCAATACTTGAAAACATTCCATCTTCATGGCTCATTACTATCATATTGTAGTGGAGTGATGCAATAACTATCGCTATATCTACAGATCTCGTAACGATTACGATACTTGCATTTTCATGTATCATCAACAACCTCTTCTACTATAAGCGCTCAATACATCCCATCAATAGTTTCGCCCATTATATGTCGTATTACATCGCAAAGAGAAAACCATCTCATTTCTTCAACTTCGCGAGAATAGGGATCTATGGAACTGAAGTTTCTTATTACTCGTTCATGCCATATTCGGTTTCTGTGAAGTCCTCAATATGGATCCACCTACTATATGTACTTGAACAGTCCTCCCAGCATACTCGATCGATGAAAATAAACCCTTCTTATGACGATACCTCATTCACAAAAATTCGATCTATTCGAGAGATAACAATTTGACAATTTTCTCCCGATGGCCTTCGAATTACTTCTTTAAAAACAATTGCTATAATATTGTTACTGTTAAAAAGATAAAAAACCCCTCCACTTATTTAAGTTCGCAAATATCGTATCACTGATTTAATCACAAACTTACGTCTAGCTCATTGTATTACTCTGTGAAATTTTGATATGTTGGGAGCTTTTTTTGATTTTATTAAATAATTCCTAAATATTATTTCACGGTGTGTCAATCGATTGACGAAGCTATTGCTAAATATATGAATATAATGTTTCACAATATCTAAATAGGGTTTGAAAACTATTACCTGCAAACTACTGGAAGAACTTTGGCGTTAAATTTTTTTTTAAACCACGTTATCGTAAAAAATTGTTCATGATGTATCGTAAATATCATTTTTGTTTAAAAACTAATTGTTTATTTATTTATTATAATATTTTAGCTCAACCTTCGAGATGTGGATTTTTTAGTAAGGATGTATAAATTACTTACAATTGTATTGATGGAAGGCATGATATTTAAAAAAGAAATTTGATAGACCAGTTGAAATGAAAAATATAACCTTGCTTGTCAGTTGGCTTATTGCCGTCTATTTTTACATGATGAAGAAATCGATCATTGTGGTATGGGAAAGTTTACAGTAAAATTAGTTTTATTGGTAACGCTTCCATATATTTCAAATGGCTGGTCGACCAAAATCGTCGCCAGCTTTACCCAACTCAAAATTTACAAATTCACTTGACATTTAGTTCAAAATTGTTTTTATATTATGTTCTTTTTTAATCACGTCACTTTACTGAAAACTGTAAATTTAAATAATTAGAATATGAAATTTATTTCATTATTAATTTTATCGCGAAATAGAAGATTTTATGTTTTGTTTCGAGTCTAAAAAATGAGATGTTGACGCTAATTACAATCACAAATTACAGCTTAGACTTTTCTAATATTTAAAATTACAGATTGAAAAAGATTCACATGGCCATAAAAATCTACGAGATAAATTAGTTGGATGTGTTACCTTCTATTTTCGTAAGGAAGGTAATAAATGTAGTTATTTCTTTTATTTCGTTACATCGCAATAAAATAAAATATATCTACAAGTTTTAAATGAATTCAACAATTACTACCGCTGCCGGGTCTCTGTAATAGGCCCGAAGATAAAAGAACTATCTAATTACAATATTGTTCCAATTCAAAAAAATATCACGTGTCTGAGTTTCTTCGGAATAAAAACTAGAAAAATGATCATTATCAGAGTTTTTTCCAAAATTTTTTTTATAGATCTAAGAGCGAAGCGAAGAATTTTTATATTAAAATTTCCTTCCCATGGCTTCGCTACGACATTCTCTAGAAATATCAGGAGACTTGCTTGGATGACGGAAATGCCAATAAATTGATCCCTGATGTCAAAAGTGGTCATTTTGACATCTTGCCAAGAAGTCCGTATTGTCCAAAGGTCAGAAAAGTCAATTCCAACAGATCCTAAATAGAAATTTGATAAATCAGATAGATATAATTGGACGATATAATGTACGAGAAAGTTTTGTCTAAACCTTTGGCTAATTTATAATGGAATAAATTGGAAATTATATTACACGACATTATTGGATTAATATTATTATAGATTACTTTATTAATTGCTTTTATGGGTAGTATTTTATTAAAATTGAGGTAAGAGACATAGTAAATCATATCGTACCTCAATTTTAATAGCACACTACTCATATATTTTTATCAAATGTATAGTATGAATAGCTATCTTCATAAATGTTTAACGTTAGAAATTTAATAAGGATTATTTATTAAATTCAAGTATATTATATTAAGGATTTTGACACAAAATTTATTTTAAAATTACATTTCGGAATTCAGCACGGTATACCTGTATTTTTTTTATTATAATTTGTTTTTGGTTTTAATTTTAATTACTATTATCTAGTTTGATCACTTTGTATCGTAGCAATCGAATATAATTTCTCCTTTTTTTATTTCAGGGAACATTATTGATTTAATTTATCTATATTGGATCTTTGTGTTACGATCAAATTTTTTCTGATATAATAATCATAAACCACGTGTTGTCATCATAACTCAATAATTGGATCACATCATTAATATTCATTCTAAAAAATTACTTATTATTTAAACAAATGAGTATAAATTACTTAAAAATATAAACTTTTACATAATCATCTGATGCTTTGTCTAAATATTGTGAAATTTCTAAAGGCAACCAAGGATATACTTTAAAATTAATATTACGATTAGTTGTGTTTAACAATATTAATAATTGCAATGTAAAAAATAACGTTAAAATAGGCTATCGGATTTCCTTAACCAAAAAATTAATGTATGATGATGAAAATAGTTAATCTGAGAAATAAAATATCTCATGAGCGAATATTTCAATGTACAAATAATACCGTGAATATCAAAACCTACAATAATTGACGTCTATCATTACATAAAATCGGTATTAGTTTATATTTAATATTTAAATAATCATTAAATTACCTTTTAATTGTAAATTTCTAATTCATGTAATTGAGAATCTTGAAATAATTTAAATGCATAACGTTAATATTGTTAATATTTATATTTATACTATCGAAAATAAAATTTAGATAATACCTTCATTATTTTCATCCTTTTCAAGATATGAAGTAATAGAGACGAATTAATAGGTTTTGTCAGATTTTTAAACGCAAATGCTCTACTTGTATATACAGCATCAGGATTTGTTTT